GTGTGTGTGTGTGTGTGTGTGTGTGTGTGTGTGTGTGTGTGTGTGTGAGAGAGAGAGATAGTGTGTATGGCAATGTTCATGTTAGCAATGTTCTTGCTCATAGTATTTATTACTCTAGGTCTGTTAACTTTGTCGTTCCCTTGTGCAACAGGATGATTGTTCAGAGATGTTTGTTTCTGGTTTGAGGGTTTGTCTCCAGTTTATTTCAAAGTGGTGAATAATAGTTGTAAAAAAACAGACAAAATGTTTCTGTTATAAAAAAATAAATAAAAGGGATTTATGAGCAGAACTTGAATAAATTTTTAAAGAGAAATCCTGTCGACTTGTTCGTTCCTCTTTGACGCAGCAAAGACGAACTATTAACATTCTCGGCCAGTTATTTAAAGTATGTTCAGCACCTCCGGAGTGGAAACTCTCGTAAGTGCAGTGGTGCTTTTTTTATCGGGTCAAATGCACGTATGACTCTGAAGGAGCTGATAAGAAGTGAATCAACAAGATTGTTACAGTGAAGCACGTTGTCTTATGGAGGGAAAAAGAGCTGAGGGTGTCCAGCTCGTCCAGAGACCCCAGAGTGGTCTGGATGTGCATACCTTGCCCTCCTCTTATCTCTGACAGATTGTTTGGCATCTCAGATCTCCAACAGCTGGACCGCCTCACCCTGCTGCCCAGAGAGAAGGTGGGGTGGCTCTTTCAGGATGGAGGGGATAAGAAAGATGGGGGGGAGAGGAAGGTTTTGATTCTTCAAACCTAACGTGCTTTAGTCTTTTTCCCTGAAAATAAATAAATGAATGAAAAAATATAATTGAATTCCAAACAGATCCATTTGAGCGAAAACATTTGTGTTGAACATCTAAGAACTCTACCGTCATGATTATGTGTCTACTGAAGTGTTTCACTCTTTGCTTCTCCCAGCCTGTTTCTCGTTCTTCCCCTCCATTTCTCTCATACACCACAAGGTCAGAGGTTAAGCAGGCACCTCTTCAGAGGCTCTCGTCCTTCTTAACCCTTCGTCTCCAGAGCCCAGAACAAGGAGGGGAAGACGGAGCGCGATCCGGGGTGCTTCCAGCTTTTAAAGGCGGCGCTTTTATGTTTTCTTGTACCATACCAGCCTGTGTGACTCTTTGGGTGAAGTGGGTAATGTGAAACACAGAGAGCACGGGAGCAAAATACTTAAATGTATCAGAGGAGGACTTTCTCAAACACTCTGGTCAGACAGCAGATTGATTAACTTTTTGTGATCAAAGTGTCTAAGTGGTGCTTATCATTACTTCCATCCCCTCTGCTCCCAGTCCAACACAAACATTTGCTACTATCCCCTCTTCTGCAGCCATGCACCCGCTCCTAATTCAAAACTTCTCGTCTTTTTTCATCCTGTACACACGGAGTCACCTTATAATACAAGTAACTGGACAAACCTTCATGAATGACACTCATTTTGGCTGCGGAGCCACTTTTTTAGTGACTCCAGTTGCCCCTATTGCGTTAAATATTCTTCCCAGCTGCGCAGAAGTAATTTCTTTGTACAAGGAAGGGTTGTAAAAGCTCTTTTCATTACAGCCCCAACTATTTGTTTGAATGTATAAATTGGAGTCTGTTGCTAAATTCTGAGAGGCATTTGTGCGATGTCCTGCATTAGTGATGTCATGTTGTGTGGAATGAGTGGTCTGAGACGGAGCGTAATTGGAAAAGATGATTATGGTTCGTGTCTGTCGCTCTGACGGGCGCTTCATCGTCTCGGTGGAAGGAAACGAGCGAGAGCCAAGTCTTTTCTAGCCGCTGTAGCTTTTTTTTATTATTATTATAAGCGACTCTGTCTGTTAGCATAATATCTCAGGAACCAGTAGATGGATTTGAATGAAAGTTTCAGGAAATAATATATGAATGTACATTTACCCCTGGGCGGTACGGTGGCGCAGTTAGTAGAGCTGTGTGGGTTTCCTCCACAGACCAAAAACATCTTAGGCAGACTGGTAACTCTAAATTGTCTCTAGGTGTGAGAGCGAATGGTTGTTTGTCTCATTTATCTCTGTGTCTCTGTGATGGACTGGAGACATGTCCAGGGTGTCCCATGCCTCTTTCACAGTGACTGCTGGATATGGGCACCAGTGACCCTTGTGACCCGAAAAGGAAGAAGCAGGTAAAGATAATTGATGCACCTCTACCGCTCCTTAACTTTTGGAGTCACTCCAAGGCCTTCACGTGCACAAAATACCTAAAACTCAGTCTGTTTCATAGACATTAAGCTAGTTTGAAGTGGTAGTAGCTGAGACTCATCCTCAACATATACTTTGAACACTAATACATTTGATCAAATTACACAATATCGGATGAGAGAGTGCGCTAAATGTCATTTACAATGTTTAAACAAAATGCTCATAACTGTGTCTCATCTCATCATAAGACCTTATAACTCTGGCATGAAAGGCAGCAGGAGGTGTTCAGCCCTTCAAGGATGGTTAGGCCTTTAACTGTGGTCATTGTTTGAAAGTACATCTTTGTAAAATTGATTCATAAATGCAAAAAACCCTGCTTCCATTTATGAGTGTATTTATAATAACAATCAGTGAGTGCTGCATGGCTCTTAGAGGACAGCACAATGGCAATACAATCATGTCAAACAATAGATGCACAGCTATTACATATGGTTAACAGAGTAGGTTGGTGGAGGTTTATTTGAATGGCGCTATCCATCCTTGTTGGTATTTAAAAGCCACAAGAAAGACCTAATGCTGTTAAGGACGGTATAGTAACAAGACTCAGACTCAAGCTAATTTCCTCTAAATGAGAGTTTATGGCTGAAACAGCCCTGAAATCACCGAAGTAGATCTTAATATGAGCATAAGGGCTGTCAAGGATAATAGGCAAAGTAGGAATGCGTGTGTGTATGTGTGTATGAGAGAGAGAGAGAGAGAGAGAGAGTGAGAGAGCATTGAATCTCAAAGACAAAGAGAAAGGTTAAGGGTCAAACCAACAGCAGACAGGCTGGTCCAGGGTCAGAGGGCTTTGGCCTAACTTGATCAGGGATGATTGTTTAAGTAAAAAAAATAAAAAATAAAAAATCTTTGAACTGTCACCTTGATGGAGCTGTTGTAGTTTTTCTGCTCAATGCAAGACTTTCACTTTTAGACCAATTCAACAACTCAAAATTTTTTACTAGTTTCAAAATAATGCCTAAATAAATGAGAGAAATTGTATTTTCTGCAAAAATGCAGTATGACGCAATGAAACTGAGTTGTTAAGCTGAAAGGAAGGGAACGCTAATTAAATGGAGCAGAACACGAGCTAAAAGCTGAAAGAAAGAGCCCAAAGTAGATAAACTGTATCTAATAGCTAAAAGCACCAAAATCCATCAAAGCCATCAAAACTGCAACTAAAAGCAGCAGAATATAGCTAAAAGTATCAAAAAGCCAGCTAAAAGTATGGGTAAATAAAACATAAAAGTGAGAAAGCTAGCTAAAGATTAAAAGTAACAAAGCCCTAGTTAAATGCAATAATATGCAGCAGACTGCTGAAAGAAGCAAAACTTTAGCTGAAATCTAAATGTAACAGAATGCTAGCTAAAATTTAAAAGTAGCAAAGCTGTAGTTAAAAACAGCAAAATGCTAGCTAAAAGACCTTTTCCTACTCTGCTCCTGCAACCTGGAACACCTTGCAAAAAGAGCTGAAGCTGTCCACCTTGATTTTTTAAGGCGTTTCAAACATTTGATAATGTCAATGAGAAAATAAAAGCAAATATGTTCTTGTTTTCAGTATTTCACCCTGTTTTAC